ACTATAACTTCATTTAACTTAGACTTGCAAAGGCTGGATGGTCAGAAACATTAGTTGGGGAAGAAAGGCCCAAATGCTCTTTGGGCTACCCTTGTCCTGTTTCATTGAATAGGTAACTTCTCTTTATTCAGAAGAAGATCACATAGAAATCTAAATGTTGTCTCCTTACCTGACAATTTGGCTGGACAAAAAACTGTCCAATACAACAGATGAAGTAATTCATCTGCTGTGCAAAGAGGGGGGTAGGAGTGGAAAAACAAATCAGTTGCCTGCTTTGCTGCTGGAGCAATGCAACTGTACATGATGAGCTATTTGAGAAAAGTAACTGTTTATCCTTTAGTGACTGTTAAAAGTACCTCAACAGGATCTGAGAAAGAAGGAATAAAGAAACCATGTCAGAGACAGCTACCATAGCAGAGCAAAAAAGAGCTTCTCTTATTACTCAGCGATTTTCCTCTGTTTTTCTCTAAGCTTACTTACAGACTTATGAACCTTTTTTCCCAATTGCAGTAGCTAGCAATTGGACTTTCTTGGTTATTAATATCAAGAATGTGAAAGCAGGCCTTAATTCATATGAGTCATACAAAGCATGATCTTTGGGACGATCTATGGCTGAGTAGAATAAACATCAAACGTGCGGAAAAAATACCTAAGTTCTAGAATAATCTCTATACCTATCTTCACATCTCAGTGGAATCCGATTGCACAATGAACGTTCATATTACTTCACAATTTCTGGGTAATTGCTTACTGGAGAATATGGGCCTAAAGAATAGTTCAAATCCATTAGCATTCAGAAAAATTCCATTTGATTTTATTACACTTAAGTTTGTATTTAAATAGTTAGGACAAAAAGTAAATTTATACAGAAAGTTAGTTTATACAAAAAATAGTTATGTACAAAAAGCTTTCCAAAATAGTAAGGAATTTCTGAATGAGAGCCAAAACTGTTGCTGCTAATAGGGATTTTAACTTTGAGAACTCCTTCATTTTTGACCACTAGGAGGGTATTGGGTAAATATTGAAAACATAACAGATGACAGAAGAATGCACCCAGCTTCTGAACTCCAGTCTAACTATATCCTACTTCCCCTGCTGCCACGTCAGGTTTCTGTCTCTTCAGAAGTGAAGAGAACCATGTCAGGAAATGAAGGAGAGGAAAGAGTACCAAGCACCTCTCACTGGAAAACAGAGCTAACAGAGAATGCAAGGACTGACGCTAAACTGGGGAAAAGTCTTGTAGTGCCAAAGTCACCCTTGCAGGGCCCAGTGTACATATGAAGGTGTCACCCCTTCTCTTCCCAGCCACTCACTAAAGGAATTACCCCACTAGCAAACCTACCCTTGCAAGGCTCGCAGAAGTGGTTGCCTGGGTTGTTCCCCATTAAGGCTGGTTTTTGATGAAAGATGACTGGTCCTCCTCAGGAAAGAGATGGCAATGCAACAGGTGGGTTCACAAGGAAGTGAGGTTATGAATGATGCTAAAGACAAAGCTGCTCACCTCTGGTGCCTCAGAGAGACAAACTCACTGTGCTTAGGGTTACACCTAAGCTTACAATCATGCACACTTGCTGAACAATGCAAGTTAAATTTTATATTTGCAAAAGTTCTTTGACTCTAAAACCAATTTGCCAACATCTCCAAAGTCACTTTTCATGCCCTTCACTATACTAGGTAGAATCTAAATTAGCCAATGAGCTTGCTTGATATGAGACTTCTACTTATAAAAGTTCAGGGTGAAAACTTACCCCATCAAATGATCGTGTTTATGAAAACACTGCAAAATGGAGCTTTTTTGTAAATAACAGTTTACAAGGGACTCAAATACACAGCCACTTTAGCATCAAAGCCATTCAAAAGACAACTCTCCTGCAATTCTACAGCAAGAGAGACTGGACTTTATCAGATTCAATGGTTAACTCATGGATTTAGTTTGCTTAAGTTAACGGAAAAAAGTCCTCCTGAATTTGGGTGCAAGTTTTCTGCAATTGGCTCTTCCGGTTACTAGAAAGAAATTAGTTACTGGAAACAGTGCTCAGATTTATGCCTCAAAACATAAGACCTTGACAAAACTTTGCCTTACATTTTGATAAATATCTCTGTATTTGTCTTAAGCCTCCAAGAAAAACAATGACTGCAGAAACAGTGTCATTTTCACTGAGCTTTGTTTTCCGTAGGAAACCAAGTTCACCTGGCTTTATTCGAAGGTTCTGCTCTTACATTGTATGATGAGCTTTCTGTGTTCCTCCCGCGAGTCCTCCATAGTATAGAGGGTTTGTTTGGTAATGCTATTCAGATCCACATTCCTCCAGTCCTCCAGCATTTGAAATGTGATGTCTGCACTGTGGATCACCGTTCTTGATGCCTGTAATCCAATCCAATCTATTCATTAGTTCATGGTTTATTAGGTTAAAAAATAGGCTTTATCCCCTTTTACGCTTCCTTAGCTAGGCTCACTAAGTTGATTCTCCTCATGGACCCCCACCCAGCAACTTGATGTTACTGGGCCCTTTAACCACAGAGAACTCCCAAGTCATTTTGCCTACTTTAATCAACTGCAAGTATTTTGCTTGCACCCACCACAAACACCAATAAGGAACCCTTATTTAGTGGTGCTGTTGCTAGACTCCTCAGTCTATAACAGCTCTGTTGTTTTTCTTGACCAGCTTCAGTTTGAAACCAAAAAGCAACAAGAAAAAATAAGCTGAAACCAAATAAACCCCACTCAGATTTGCTCCCTCCCCTCTCCCAAACTCTGAAGATTCATTCTTCCCTCAGCCACATGAAAAAGTTAAAGCTCATTTGCCTCCGCATCAGATCTGCTTCTTGGCTGATTGAGACAGAGGCCTGCTGTTGATAATGGGAAGAATAGGCTCAGAGGAAAGGAAGTGATGTAAGGTCATGGTCACATAACACACACCATCTCTGTAAGCAAGTTAAGCAGAGGTGAGAACCCACACTAAGGTTATCAGTTTCCCCAGGGAAATGATGCATTTGAAGAGTCCTTTGTGTAATTTAACTGTTTGATCCCATGTCTGATGCAGAAGGTTGTGGTCTCTGTATCTTGACTTCCTCTGAATCCCTATGGACCTCCAAAGTTCAGTGATGATCCATCATGTTTGGTGTATCAGTAGCACAGGCATCTTTGCCTTCACCACTAAAATAATGGAGGAAGAAATCTACAAAGAAGTCCTTGCAGGAGTGTTGAGCTTTTTTTCCCCGGAGCTTCTTTGTGTGGGCTTCACCTCTCACAGGGTTAACCTGGGGTGTTGGATACACCTTCCAAAAGTGGAGCATTCAGTGTGACGGGGAAAACAAACTGGCTGCTCCAATACATGAGTGAAACCTTAATGAATTCAACGCAACCTCCCCCTTTTTACACTACGTAGAATTTGGTCTCATTGATTTTTGATAGGTAAATGTGATCTAAACTAACTGGTGAAAAACACTTCAGAGTAGTTTTTATATTCACTTGCTATAGTTGCAAGAGCATTTCTATTTAAAACCCCAGTGGCTCAACCATTTTGATTTTTTACTGATTTGCATTTGATTTGCAGTACACAGACTTGGAATTCTTTGTCAGGCATATAGAAATTTTTCTTGTTTTGCAATAGGCCTAATACATCCACTCTGAAATCAAAGGAATGCCTCTCATTTATTTCATGGAAATGAATAATCTCTTCAAATCAAGTAATAATTGTGTTTCATAAAAGTTCCCTGCTGAATTTAATGATCAGGGGTTTCTAGTTCTCTAGAAAAGCATTTTTTTGCTGTTTAAGTTTTAATTTTGTAAAGAAGGTCACAATAAACACTGGAGACAACCTGTTAACATGATCTCTTCCTCTTTGGGTAAAATCCAGCCTGCAAATTCATAAAATTGTTTGAAAAGTCAGGAAAAATAGCATTCAGCAAACTTGGATAACTGAAATATTTACTTGGCAGAGATGATTTAGTGATGTCTGTCGTCGGAGTATTTGTGAGAATCTTCTCGACACTACAGGAAAGAAGAGATAAATATTTACATACTGTGCTAAATAAATAAAATTATTTCTGAAAATACTAAATTAAAACAAGAACCAAAAAATATATCCAGTTTCCTCTATACAATTGTGACTAAAGTTCATTCAAGTATCCCAGTTTTAACTTAGTTTAAACCTTGACCTAAAACCTTAAATCTGGATCCTCAATCGGTTTTACAAGTAGTGATTTATAAATGCTGTGAATAATGAGATGACAAGACAAATGCAGAGGACAATGGAAGAGTTTTGCTTGTTCAGCATGGCAAATTTTCTCTTGATACACAAAGGAACAGAAGACCAGAAAGAAGTATTTAATAGAAAGAAAAATGCTGCTGCAAGAACAAGTGGGCATAAAATAATGATAGCTACATTATGTGTGGAAATTAGAAAAGATTGCTAAGTCTTAATGCAAACAAGTTTCAGAGGAGTCTTCTGACTGGACTAGTAGGAGCTAAAATCAGTTTCAGATAGAATTTGATCAAAGTTTCTGAAAGAGATGTGCTAACATGCTATGAGGTAAGAGGGCCCTGGAGGTACTCGCCAGTCCTCTGCTCGTATTTTAGCTCTTTTGAAGCAGTATGGACCTTGTACTAAGATATTTCCTATGCTTGGATTTTAAAATATTGTATTGTGCATCTTTTGTCTGAAATCTGTGGCTCAAGAACTGCAAACCAGATCAAGGCTGGCTGTTACTCCTGCCAGTACCTCCATTTGCTGTGCACAATATCAGAAATTCTGAGAAGGAGGAAACAATTACAGAAGCAACAAAGAGTCATGTAAAAGGTAGGATGCACTCAAGTTTTTCCTTATATTAAAATCACCAGAGACGTGCAGGTCTATCCAGACAGGCCTTAGACATGGCCACAGAGTAGGTTATCCCTCTGTACTGTACACAGAGGCAGTTAAAGAGTACAGATTGAGAATAACTAGAAAGCGCATTGTCCGTCTCTTTCTCTCTCCCTGTAAGATTGGAAAAGATTTTGCTGTTGCAAATTCTCAGTATTTTTGAACTTACAAAGATGTGATAAAGCATATTCTTAGGACTGATTTTGTGTAACTTTTAAAAGAAATGAGTAAACTACACCAAAAAAAAGCTAAAATGAGTTGTTCCAATTTACATCCTGACTGTTCTCAGTAAAATATACACCTAATTTTCCATGCTGATCAAAATAGTTAATCCTTCTCCTAAATTAGTTTTTTTTTTTCCTTTAACTTTGTGGTGTGGAATTTAGTGCTCATGAAAGGCAAAGAATTGAGAGCCGTGAAATAAAGCAGGCTTTATCAATAGGTGATGTGCACTGCAGGCATCTACAAAGCACATCTGAAAAGGACTAGTGCCCTTTCCTGTGGTGACAGGGTAATTTGATCTCCTTCATTTTTAACTCTGGCACTTTTTTGAGCAAGGGCCTCAAGCTGTATTCAAATTGTGTTAGCCTAAAGGTTTGTTTAATAATTTCCTTTGCCTAATATCATCCCTAATGTTTGCTTACTATCAACAAAATTAATTCCTTATCAGCATCCACAAGAAAGGAAAAGCAATTCTCCTCATTTTGAGCAGTGCCTCATTTCCCTAAATTAAATTGGTTCTCATGAACAAGTGGAAATTGTAAGTGAATACAAGATTTATATAGCTGAGAGGTTTTGATTTCTATAAGAACACAGTCTTACTTCCAGTGAATTTGTAATCAATAAATATTATACATATTCCAGGCTAATAGGAGAGAGATTGAGCAATACATACATTCAAATTTGATACTCCGTAAGTTTTCTGGTAAATCATGGAGAGCTACTTTCAGCCACTCATCCAGCTGCTTTGCAAACTTTCGGATCACCTGTGTCAAACTGAAGAGAGAAATCACTACCTCAAAACATGTTTACACGTTTTATACTATAAAATCTGTGAATGCATAGACTATGAGTCAGTTATATACAACTCGCTATTACACAGAGTTGCTAACATATTTTGGTTTGTAGGTGTGAAGGAAAACTTCTGAAAACATTTGCAAGAAAAGGGAAACATACCACCATGTTCAAAACCTCACAAAGAACGGAAGTCTTTGTACTGCATTGCTTTGATACTTACAAACAATATTCTTAGCTTGAAATAAAATCATTCCCACTCTGTACAAACATAAAAACACAAAATCACAACTGTTTAAAGTAGACAATAGATTAAGCTTTGGATTTCAACTCAGCGGCGCCCACTTTCATACAAATGTACTCAGAGATGGGCAAGTGAAGCAACAACCAACTATGCTGCAGGCTGAAGTCAGTGAGTGAGTGAGGACGGAGGGAAGGAATTTCCAGGCCAAGCCCACACAGGTGGGGCGAAGTGGGGGCGGAGCGGAACCTGCCTGTTCAGCTCTGCACAGGACAGGAACTTTCCCGGACAAGTGAGATTTCTCTCTTCTCCCTTACTACTCTTTCTTGATGGCTCCATCATGTCCTGCTAAACTTGGTAGGCAGCTCATTCTGCCCTTCTTTTTGGAATTGCTTAGTATGAAACGACAGTTTTGAGGAAATGTGACAGGGTGTAGTGCAGGGGACCCTAATAGTTCTGCCAGACTGAACTGCATTCCCTGTAGCCATACTCAAGATACAGAAATGAGAGAGAGAGGGAAGACACAAGGAACTTTCCCTCTTTCAGCCAGGCAGCTTTTTCTGTTTGTATTCCTAACACATTGCACCATGAACAGAGCTGGTAAAATAAACACGGCCATAGGCCTGCTCTGCTCCACAAAGTCACCTTAACAGGACAGGAGATGGATGACAACTGCTGCATCCACTAAGAAGTGGCTTTTCTGGACAGCCAATATTTGTTCCCAGGATGTTCCTCATAGGATTCTGGCTGAGTCAGCAAGATTTCCTTCAGGAGCTTCCATTGCAGCGAGACCCTTCTTCACCCCCTCCAGTGCAGGCTATGGCTTAATAGCCACAATCTGGCCCTTTATATGCATTACAAAAGTCTATATTCACACTCAAGTCTCTCCTTATTTGCTATGAAAGAACTAAGCAGCTTGAGAAAAGGACTGCTGTTCTGTTTAATCCTTCCAGTGAAATAGATTTCGGAGGGGTGAGGGGCAAAGCCTGTAGAAATGTACATGTCTTATCAAGGAAAGCCCATGTTTATAACAGGCTTCTTATGGAAAAAGTACTTTCTCTGTACTTTAGCAGTCATGTAGTGTACATAAGAGGGGAGAACAACATCTTGAAAACATTTGCCATGATTAGAGATGCTTTAAAATCTTGAGGGCCAAATACAGCACCACTAAGAAACTCCTAGGGCAATATTCTTAACAAATTACTCAACCTCAGGAATACATCAGTCAAATAATAGTAAAGGTATACACGTATATTTAGAAAAAGAGTTTCCTGATGCTCATATTAGGAAAATCAAAGAGGGAAACTGCACTTGTGATTACACTTTTTGCTGTGAACTGTTGATCTCTGTCCTGCTTTACCTACATGAACAAGACTTCCTGGACTCAGATGAGCTCCAGGTAGGAATAGAACAGCTGAGATCTACCACATGGATTGGAAAAGTGAATTTAGCTTTGAAACAAAAGAGGTGAATACTTCTTAATATTAATAAAGTGATCCTAAAAGAAACATGCATCTGTTCTTTCTAGGATAGTATTTAAATTAAACTAGCTTGTCCGAGACTTCACCAGTATGCTCTTCATGTTTTATTCTCCTGGCAAGCAGAATAACAGTTGGGTTCCAAGACTGTATACAGAGACAAATACTTAGGTTGCAGTGCCTGAATATGCATGTGAGTATTTACAAACAGAGCATCCAGGCCAGCTCTTCTTGTCACTATAATTCAGAATACTGTTACATTGTTGACCTAGACTAGCAGAAAAGTGTCTCAAACTTTCAGAAGTCACTGTAGCTCTCTGTAGTCTGCAGACTTCTGACATTCCCTGAAAGCTGGGACAACTATCAGCTTGATGTTAATAAACCAAGAAATTGGTATCCTTTATCACACAAAAATTAACAAGCTTTTCACAATACAAGTCTTTTATTAAAAATCAGAACATTTCTTCAGGAGCATGTCAACTCTTCAACTCTTTTGAAGTGACACTGTGATTTAAACTCCGGAAACAGGAAAAGCAAGCAGCTTTCTGAAAGCTGGTGCCATTCTTGAAGAAAATACACAAGCCAAAGACAGCTGAGCTAGAAGTGGCCAGTGCTGCTGGCTATACTGACCTGTCAGGTAATGCTTGTAGTACTGTTGGCATCAAAACTCCAGAAATTGCTTTGTACAGAATTGAATCACAGACTCCCACTATATTCACTACAGTTGAAGAACCCAATACGGGCAACATATGAGGAGGCATCCCTTGCCAAAAGTGCAGAAGAAAACTTTGAACCTGCAATCATGAGAAGAAGCGGGAATGTTTAAATGAAAATAATTGGCAGCCACAAATACCATTTTCTTTAAATGATCCTGCTTACATAGCATTTGTTTCAGCCCCAGAGCTGGACTGATGGTGTACAACACAGGCGAGGTATGTTCCTTAACTAGACAGGGTTATACTGCAGCGCTCAATGGGATAATCAACCAAAGGACGAGGAAACACTCAAGTAGGTGACAGCATGTCTTTGTGTTACTACAGTAGAGAGACCCATGGAAACCACCATGTTTTTACCTTCCATCAGTGGCTGGAGTGTGTAACTCTTTGGCTTCCACATGTCAAGCCTTTTTCTCTCTCTCTCTTTGCTCTCTGTCCCTGTATACAAAGGAATGCAATCTAGGGCTTGGTGTAGGGAGGGAGAAGAGGGCAGCAAATGGCTTACAGGGGTCAATATATCATTTTCTGGTCTTCATTTTGGAAAGAAATACTACACTTTTGAGTTTCTTCTTTCCTCCACTATGAAGGAACAAGCAGAAAGAATGGAGAAAGACAAAAAAGAAAATGGGGAGGATATTTCAGACACAGAAAAATATACATCTGAAAATTTTAGTTTAGGAAATAAAGGTGTTATTCAGTGAATGATATGATTGGTTCTACAGGGATCAGAACACTGGCATTCATAAGCCATTCATAGCCTTTTGCACACAATCTATTTATTGAAATAAATAACCACACCAAGTGCAGTAAAGAATATTTGCCATTTATACATTGTCGCTGTGCAGTCCTTTCCCCATCACTGATTCTGAAAAACAGAATCCCTACCAAAATATAACAACCTGCTCTTAAGAAAGTATTCTGGGGCTTATCCAGCAAAACTTCCTGAATATGTGTCAGAAATTTTTCTTACATGGAAACAACTAGACTTGGTACAATGACTTTAAAAAGCCTCAGATTTAAACCAGGAGAGTGTGAGAATTAAACAGTGAGAGGAAGAAAAGCGGGAATTCCTTCCCATTGTTCAGAAGGCAGAGTCAAAAGACCCATTTCCTTTGATTTTTTTCCTTTGATATGATGGATGTCATATCTGAATCAGGCCCTCAGCATCTCTGTAGTCAGATTTCTTTTCCTGGAATAAAGACCTTCTCCACATGCAATATAAAACTGCTTGCATTATGGTAATGTTTTGGTTTTTCTGCTCTAATTACATAGCTGTCTGCATGCACTGCCAGAAAACCCTTAGATTCAGACAGACATGCAGGAGGTACAAACCTTATCCATCTCTACTGGATGGCATCAACTACTGAGCAGTGCGTGTGTTCCTGGCTGCACTGCAGTACAACTGAGCAATTGGGGACTTCAGCTACATCTTTCTGGGATATCTGGGAGGCAGCAGGCCCCCCACAACCCTGCACCATTGTTAAGAGAGCAACAGAGCCCAACATTTTGGCTGCACCACCTGCCCTGGGTTTGTGCTGAACACTCAGAGGAATTCCTTCAAACAGAACTCAGTCCCAACTCGAAGCTTAGAAAAGTGGTGGTGGACACACTTCTTGAGTTGTAAGAACTGGATTGTCAAGCATCTTGTAAGGGGATATTGCTACCTTAATCCTGCTGGAGAATGGAGAGACAAAAACATTCCTGTTGCTTGTATTCCTCTAACTCACAGAGTGTTATAAGTGAGATTTAACGCTATCGGTCACATATTATGTACTCAAGTATAGCTATTGTTCATTACTCATGAGAAGGATTGGCCACCACAAAACCATAAGTTTGTAATATCACATTCAAAATAAGCTCTCAGATCCATTAATACCTTCTGTGTCATTAAACTCAACTCCCGTTTCTAACCATACCTCATCAAAGTTCGCTCTTATTACAGTGTCTAGTATCCTTTGACAGTGAGTTCTATACATCATAATAAAGGTAGAAACCTGAAAAAGAGTGAGAGGGAGACACACAAAAGATCATTCTACTTTAAGAAAGCCACTTTTAAAACTACCAGAATATACAGCACAAAAAAGTAAGTTTTTTCTTATCTTACCTATGCACAATTGCAAAAATAATGAAATCGGTTAGAGTCTAGTTAGATTAGTTAGATTAGCTTTAAGATGAGTTTTCGTCTTAAAAGTAAATTCTCCTTTTGAATTCATGGATTTTTCTATGTCAATGGGGATTCTTAAAATGTAAGAGGAGCAAAAAGCCTCAGTGAGATCAAAGACGAGAATGTGGCCCTAATTAGGACATAAAGAACTATAAAACCCTATTCTTTTGTTCACTTTACATTGATACTACACATGCGAATAGCATCAGAAAACTAGCAAACTCAGCCAAGAGCAGTCAGAGCACTTTTGTTATATGTGCAGATAGGATTCTCTTAATTTCTAGTCCAGAAGGGTAAAAAATGCATTAAGTCCCTTTCTGCTAAAGAAGGCATCAGAACCATTTTTCAGTTTGCCACCAAATGTGTTCACAGATTAAAGGGCTATAACACAGTTAAAAACAGCTACCCTCAAACCTCACCTGTTGTATGTAATGCAACTTTTAAAAAAGTGTGCACAGGTTTTAGAACTGTTGTACAGCTGATACTGTCAGCTCCATATTTTAAGGGAAGGTATTTCTTCCTTCTTCATTATATGAACTAATTAAGTCCCCCATAAATAAAGTCAACACATTATTAAACTTGCTCTAATTTAAAGTCTTTATATTTTTAGATAAAGCTTTCATCCAGAGCAGGGGAAAAAAAAACCCAAGACAAGCCACAAAAAGATTTCCAAAGTGTTACCTTCTCCTCTGGCAGACTGGCTGGCAGATTTAGATCTTTGACATTTGGAAACTCTGGCAGTAACGTTCCCAGTTTGGATCGTGGTGAATACGCCACTGTCTGTTTGGTTACTTCTTTTTTTCCTGCTTCGTTGACCCAGGCTGCTCCTTTTTTAGAATACATCACATCATAATACTGGGAGTTTTCTTTCACTGCAATTCCATAATAATGGTACCTGATAGAAGAGAACTCTATTTTATAAAGCATATTGTTTGAAAATTAAAATAATCCAAAGATATGTGGGTAAGAAAAACTGATAATGCTAATGACTTCTACAGCAAAACAGACTGTGCAACAGTTTATATATTATTTATGAGCATTGATTCAGTAGCAGAACATTGCAGTAATAAATTTGACTTCTAATTTTTATTCCTTCTGGTGAAAGTAGCTCTCTTCATAGTTAATAAAGCTGTCTCATTTGCAGAGCAGGAAAATAACGGGGTTCCATTTTTTTTCTTATTAAAAAAAAAGCGTCCTAAAGCTACATGTTGGCAGAGCTCTGCTGTGCAGCTGCTCCTTTAGTTGAGCAATAAGCAGAGGTACAGACCCTCTGGACTAGCCCTTCTGTCATTATTTCAGCTCCCTGATTCTCAGACTGGTTTGATTCCTGAAAAGCATGAGTCTTCATTGCAAATAAGTTGATCAGAAATGTTTCAAAAATGGAAAACACTTCAATGAAAAGAGAGGGGAGTGCAAGACTTGTGCTGGAAAGTAATGAAAGGTAGGAAATGCACAGTTCAAAATAATTTGCTTGATAACTTAGGATCTGCACTGGGCTTAGATCAGTGAGGGATAGTACACAACATGGATTATTCAGTCTACCTCTTGCATCAAAGCAGCAAAGGTAATCTCATTCCTTCTATAATTTGCTAACTCTTATTTCAGTTTCTCACCTGTAGGCACCACCAACCCATCAGCTGATTTTTTAATTATTACAAATGGCACCGCAAAATTGTACTGTTCTTATACTTTTGTTACACCCTACTTTCCTAGAGGGATTTCTCAATGATCTTCCAGTTCTCTCCTTACAGCCTATCAAAAGCCTATGAGACCATGATGAGACACTGCCTTCTGGATCCCACTGTGGTGGTAGGAGAAGTTACCATCTCCAGATGTTTGTTGTACTCCCCAAACAGTTGCTGATTTCAGAGTTATGCCAGTAGATTTGTTCCCTTGAATGAACCCTAATTTGCTTTAGGCAAAATCAGCTGGTTTTACAAAGGTCATCGATTAAATTAGTAAAAGAGAAGCATCTAAGTGATGGTAGTTTAAACTAACTCAGGTGACTTTTTTCCTACTTTCACAATCATTCTCCCTCAGATTAGTGCCTGTCAATCTCCAGCAGAAAGTGGTGGCAAAGCCCTAATCTTGTCTACCAGCACACATGGGCTGAGAGGAGGCCTGGGGACTTGTAGCAACCTTCTAGTATGTGGGTCCCCTGCCATGCCCACTGAGGATGTTCCATGTCGTCTATTAAAAAGAAAAGATACCTTGAACTCAATATTGAATAATCCAGATGACATTTATTAAAACATTATGCTGACATGGTATGAATGTGATTTCCTAGCTTCAGTACCTTAGAAAGCCACAGTATCAGAGTTGGGGAAACCAAAAGGAGATGCTGCAGGGAGCTAGCACCACAATTGATGAGAGGAAAAGGAGAAAAGGTCACAGCAAGTTCTGGAAAAAGTTCTGGTTGGACTGAGAGGTCTGCATAACTTAAACAGGGATAAGTCTTTTATATCAAGCTTCCTCTTAAATAAATTCAATGAAAAAATGAATGAAAGCCTGGAAAATGTAGTAGAACTTCACTGCACATTATTTAATTTCCAGTATGTTTCACTTGGCAATAAACTACATAAAAGAGTTTTTCCAGGTATCTTCAAAATCATGTAGGCAGCAATAGCCAAATTAACTCTGAAATTTTTCCAGATAGCTTCTGCCTCCAGTAATTTTATCATCCCAAATGGCAAAATCTCACTGATGCAGTTTACAAAGATGCTTTTCCAAGCACTTTTCTGTAATTCTATCAGAAAAAAAACCCCAGCTTAATTAAATAAACAGAGCCTGAAAGTTTGATCTGTACAAGAATAACATGCAGCCTACGCAATTATTTTTGTGGTAAATAGTGGAATACTTTTTCCTCTCATAGATCCAGTATCTGCAGCACTCCTTTAAAGAAAGAAGTGAAATTCCCTTCACACCATGTAGTTTTCATCAGCTTAAGTAACCTCTTGTGTATATAATTGCAGAGTTTCAAGCTACAGTACAGAAAGAAATATTCTTTTATGTTTAGCTGCCTTCTCATGGCTCACCTGTGGTGGAACTGTTTTTGAGCTCAGTGCCATAGAAAACAGCTGCATCCTTACAGCAATAAACCCTGCTGCAAAAAAAGAAAGCCTCACAACTGATGACCAAGAGTATAGCACCATTGTAGCTCTGAACTCTGTTGTGTTACAAGGCAGCCATACTATAAAAAGACTGAAGGCAGAACAGTGTGAAGTCAGATAATCTTAACCACTTCTATGACTGAATTTCCTTTGGCAGTAGCAGGAAAGTGGGGTGAAAATCATACTGGCAGCAACCGGTCAGCACAGCTGGTGATAAAGGGACTGAAGTGTTAATGCCTAAAGTAATTTCTTTACGTAACACTTAATTGGAATGCAGTCAGATGTTTCTGAAAACAAAACCAGAGCTCAGCTGCAGCTGTGCTGGGCCTAGCAAGGAGTGTGTTTGTTGTAAAGAAGTACAATGTGCATGTAGTGTGTGTTTGTTTATACTTCTCTTCACTGGATCAAATGAGGACTCTTCTGTATGCTACAAACCTTGCGGACCACTCACAAAGATGTAGGCAACCTCTTTTGGAGCAGAAGAACTCAATTTCATACCGGCTGAGGCTGTGAAATTTGAGTGAATATGATCTCCCTCACAGGAGTGACCAGGAACTTTCAGAGGCCAAGAGTTTTGCAGAGCACAGCACGCTTTACAGAAACCCCTTCGTATTTGCTAGATAGGGAACAGAACCGTTGCAAAGGTGATACAAGAGCAGTATGTGACCTAAAAGACCCTCTGATAGGCATGCGGGTTAGGGGCAAAATATGCAAGAAATATTAAGTCTCATTGATTTTTGGTCCTGTTAAGAGTAAAGAGACATAGCTTTTGGTGACATAAGACATCTTCAGTCAGTAGATCAAGAGCATCTTGCTCCTCTGAGAGACTCCTGGAGCTGCAGGAAGAGCTCCAGTTTGGAAATACGGCAGTGCTCATTCTTTTCTTTAAATGGGAAGACAAATAAAAATGTTGTAGCCAATGTCAGAATGATTTGATAGCTGGCAGCAGGTACTCTTATATGAGTGCTTCCATAAAGCAACTTGAGCACGCTTTCACTCTGTCTTTATGAACTTCCATAGAACTTATATTTGGTGGTAAATCCTGATTCTCTGAGTCTGGACCTATCATACTTTCCTAATATGCTGTTGGACTAGCCCAGAACTCACACCTGACAGATTTCTGGTAGCTCTGTTGTGAGTGACGTCATGGTAGATCTGAATTTGTATTTGGGAAGAGATTTCAGATCTTCAATTAGCTGCTTAAGTATGGCTGCTCTAGAAAAAGAAAGCTTAGTTATGAAAATTAGGAGACTCTCATGATGGGGGAAAGGGCATTTGGTCCCATCAAAGGAATATTGGCATGGACAGCTCATCAGGAGAGCACAGTGAAGTGAATTTTAATGGCTTTTCATTTAGCATCTTATTTAAAAAAAAATAATAATAATTTAAAGCTTCTTTAAAGCTTTAGTATGTAAGTTCAATTCTCATAGCATATTTGTTTCTTAGCATTTAGCAATATTGTGTTTCTAGGCTTTGTTTTGTAAGAGAAGTTTTACCAGCAAAATGTTGCAAACATACTGTCCAAGGTTTTCATTCTCCCCCCATAGTTTTCCACTTGTGATCTACAAAGACTGCCCTTAGACTACCCTGTAGGATTCTGTGAAATCTAATCAAGAAAAGCAGATACACAGATATATCTTTAGGAGATTTATGTTTGCCATAAAAAGATCCACAGCTCAATTTGCAAAACTTCATGGAGTCCACAAACAGAAAAAAGTACAAAAACATCACTCTCTATAAATTGGTGGGATCACATCTTGTCAAAAATTGGAAAAAGTCAAATACTCCAGGAAGTGCATTCCTCTTCCCAAATCAACTCCTCATTCTGGAATTAGGATGAACTGTTTTCAGGAAGCACCATCTTTTGCGTAAGGCAATAAACTAATTCCTCGAACACTTAAAGATATGTTGGATTTCATAACACAGGCAAAAATCCAGGTTTGTGGACAATTACAGTTTAGGCCAATGTATATTCCTACCTAAAGTTCAGATAACATTGTGCCACTTGCCCTCTAAACTGGAATATGATGTTAACCAGCTGCCATTCCACAGCTTCCACTACTTCTAGATGTGAATGTCCTTTACATTGTGTGAAGTGAGTTGAGATGAAAAACATAATAGTAATTATATGGAAAATATTGCTGATGAAATCAGTAAAAGGCCACCACCAGACTACCTCTGCAGTATCACTGCTGAAATACAACAATGTAAAGACTGCAATGGAACCTCCATCAAAGTTGGGTTTTAAGTCCCCAGCTGGGCAAATTATTCCCTGATCTTACACTATTCTATTCAGCAAAGCCAGAGGCAGATGGGGCCCTGTGTGAGATGATAATAATACCATACACTGCTTACTTTGATTGGCCTCTGGTTCCAAGTCTTCTTGTTGTTAGTTGTGGAAACTGTTGCCTTATTATCTGCAAATAAATAGAACTGATATTAGAAAAAAAAAAGCACATTTATTAATACTTAATTCAATATTGACTTTTAAGATGAACTTTTCTACTTTTTAAAAGTAGAAAAACTGTACTGCAATGTCAGCAAAATATGTGGCAGGAGAAATCAGGAGTAAAGCTTTTGATTTTTTCCATTACTGAAAGAGGGGAAAGAGACTTCAAAATGCAGTATAATTGAATTAACTACATTAATTTAAATAAAGACTTTCTGAAGTTACTGGTACTTAACAACCTAAGATCAGTTCTGCCTCTGAACTAAGGAGCATTGTACTTAGACTAGGTATATAATTTATTTACGTCAGTTTGCATGGTCAACAAACTTGGTTTTGCTGCAAATAGTGGAAACTCTCCTGTGGGGAGTTTTGAAGGCCACAGTTCTTTAAAGACCTTCACAATCCTGCCATTAAACACTCCTTTTTCTAAAAGATGATTCCCTGAAAAGATTTTGGTATTTGACAGCGGCACCACTTCTGCTAGAGAAGACTCACTGTCGCATTTGTAAAGATAGCTCATAATCAATTTATCCTCTATGGAATACAAGTGCATCTCAGAAACAGCAGGGTACCATCAGGAGTCTGGACTCCAGTCTGTCAGCAGAGATTAAAAGAACATTGCTACTGTAACCCAAAATTTCTTTAGTGTCAGATGCGTTTAAGGAAATGGACTAATGAATGTAGATTGTGCTTTCAGTAATCAGAGTAATGTAGTAGCTGGAAAGGTGGTGCTCAGCACCTCGCAGGATTGAACCTGACTGTGGTCTGCAGTAGAGGAAAATTCTTCTGGCAGAACAGACGTGCAAGAAGGACTGCAGTAAACCTTGAAGATTCACTTGCAAAAGGAGTTTCTTCCTTTCTTAATTGTGTTTTCATTATATAAATTGCTAAGTGTTTCCTCAATGAGGGACACAGACACTAATATTAAAGGAAAACAGGCATACAAGATGCAATATAACTGCTCAACAAGAAGAAAACATCAATTAAAATTGATTAAATAATATAGATTTTTTTTCTCCATTAGCCGTTTTGTCACCATGATAAATATTTAATCCTGATTGATGACTGAAAGCTCTGCAATACGTATTTGGATCAAAAGGTGCTATATAAATAAAGACATTACAATGTCACATATTTGACCTTTTCTTCAGTATTTTTTTAAGCAACTGTACAATCAGCTTTCTTTTGTATCATGTAAAAATTGACCTGTCCTGGTTTCCAAGAGCTTTGCACAACGCGGCTGATGTCAGAAACGCAGCACAGACTCCAAGTCGCTAGGTTGTTCAGCTTTAATTTCTGGAGCAAAACTTCAGCAAACAGTAAAACACTTTTGTGGAGCTGTGAAAGTTCAGCCTAGCTGTTTGATAAATGAGCAGACAGGCAAGCAGCCCTTCTTTCTTTTTTTGTATGGATTCAATGAAGCCTGCCTAAAGAACACCACATGCTGTTCCAGCTACTGATCTAACATTCCGCAACATCTCAGCCTTCCAAATTCCCTTTAATTACACATTAATCCCACCCCTCTCCCTTTCATTTTCTGCAGACAGGGTTGGGGGCTCCACAAGGCTGTGGGAAAAAAGGCAGTGCTGAAGAGCTGCTTTCTGAGGATGGGTTTTTTGGGTTAGGGGACTTTTTATTTTTTTTTTTTTTGGTGGCAGTTGTCATTCAGAAAATACTGTTCCTCTCCAGAAGTTTACTTTACAGCAGTAGACTCTAAAGTAAATCTTAGTATTAGAGATACTTTTATGCTATTTTTTTCCTTTGGAGGAACACAAACCCATATTACTTTCAAAGTCTTTCTAGTAGTGATGTAGTGTTACAATGCACACTGTAAATGCTACTTTATGAACCATATGCAGTGGGAGTTCCTGGGATTTAAATAAATCAGCCAATTTCTACATACCAGGGCAGAGGTAATCAGGAAAAGAGAAGAATAATGGAGCAGTTGATCAGATGATCCTTTATTCTTTTCTTTTTTTTTTCTTTGTTTCTTTTTAAATGCAGCACATTTCAAACAATGAGATACACCTTTCAGAGCACAGCTGAAAAGTATGCCTCACTTAAAATATTCTATACCAATCAATTAAAAAAAATAATTATTTGGCAAAGCTTTGAAAAAAGAAGTCAGGACTTCTTGATCTAATGCTGCATGCGTAAAATATGTTTAATGAGGCATACTCATGCTTGGGTGCTTGTACACATGAGCATGGATGTTTATGTTTGTGTTTGGAATAAAACAAGTCAAGTACTAAATGAACTAGCTGTTCATATAAATGTTTATATTCAGCTATGTTTATGTGAATCCCTATATAATGATATTGCCAAAGACAGCGAGATTTCCCTGAAAAGAGAGAGGAAATCAGATCAGGCAGGACAAAGTAGAGTTCACTGTGTGCTGAAATTAATGGAAAAAACAGAAAATGTAAAATGCTGATTTTTAAATTACACTTTCAGCCTGAAAAGTCACCCTACAAAATACATCATCATTGTGCTTCATGTTTATTACCTTTAAGACCTACAGAGAAAATAAGTTAATTTTGCAGCTGGGTGGGGAGGGAAGGAGTTTCCTAATTGCTCTAATGAAAATTCGGGTTGGGATCTGAAAAACAAGTTGGATGATTTTTCTTTCATCACTGCAGTGGGGTTGTGCAAGCCATCGAATCAAGAGCAGAGCATGTACTTTGAGCTGCTTTCTGAATGGAGTCCAGGCCCCGTTCTCACAGCAATGCTGGCTTCTCAACAGAAGCAGTGGTAAAAAGCTCTCATGGGTGGTATCCAAGGGAATTTTGGAGTGAACAGGCCTTTTTCCACTGTCCTTCCATGGAACTGAAATTTCTTCTTATACTTCTCTGAAGTGACCACAAGTTCAGCTGCCCTATGAGATCTGCTGAGTAAAAGGCTACAGGTTTTACATTTTCCAAGTAAAATTTCACCTAAATCGTGTGGCAGTTTTCACAGTTTGGCATTATTTTATGCTACTTGGCTTTTTGCTTTTGAGACAGATGTAGAACAGAAGTTTCACATGCAAACAACTTCTGTCTCTGCTATATTCGCCTCAGAAACCAATGCTCCTTCAATTTCTTTCTCACTTTCTAAACTTCAGTTGTGTTCTCTCTCTCTTTCCTCTGACCCTGCTGAAGACCTGATTTTGTCTTCTGCCTACAGAAGATCTTCTACACATTTCTTGACTAAATATATATATATATTACGAACTGCCTTATCTTTTTGCAACTCTATAGTTATTTTGGTGAATGCTCACTGTACACAAGAGCCAGATAGAAGTCATCACATTATAAAGCAACATACATAAAAAGAGAGCTTACACCTTTTCAGAGGACTTGCATACCCAGGTCAGCATTTGTTTAACCCTTTTGTAGCCAGTACATGGTTCTGGGATTGCTTGTGCAGGTAGAACATACTCCACTTTGAAAGTATGGGGCACCCAAAGTGAATGCAGAAAAGAAAACTCTCTCGTATTATTCTCCTATACTGCGATTACAACGGTGGTAGTGCACCATTCAACATGTATTGCACAAATCTTGAAGCTAACAGGATTTTTTTATCCTGTTTTGGCTTTTTAAACCTAGCAGAGGTGTCCAAATACACTTGAATTAAATATCTAGTTACTTGTATTTTTGGTAATTCTTAAAATAATGCAATAAAAATAAGTTACTTAAGTGTCTGTGAAAAACACAGAAAGCTTTATGAGCAACAACTAGAAAAATGCACTTCTTCTGTCAAGGTCTGTCTTGTAGTCTGCACAGCCTATTAACTTTAGACATGGCTTTCTGCAGGAGCTGTTCTGTTACCTACAAATGGCTGCAAAGGCACAGTCCTTCGTCCTGATTACTGCCAGCCATAATTTCTACCACTGCATCTCCTTACATCCCCACCACCGTGTCACTGCAACTCAAGCAGAGCCAGCCCCAGTTTTGAAATGAGGAATGTACTCTCTATTCTGTCTCCATCCCTACACTGTCACCCATTGCTCCTCATGGCATTCACTACTGAACTGTGAAATTTACGTTTCCCAATTATTCCATTTAAATTCTTCTATAAGATGAGATGCCAAAACAAACCAGGAAAAAAGCCCCAAAACATCTTATAAAGCATCTTAAGTGTTTGTTTTAGTGCTAACAAACAAGGATGGAAGAAACCGAAGATATCTGGAAACTCCTCAGTTCTTTTTTTCTCCCCTTCCTGTGTCAGAATGTTAGATTTTGCTATGAGGGCAATAGGCAGATGATTGCTTTTAGAAGTCTTTTCCCCAAAATAATTTAAATCTCTATTTTTCAAAAGGCATGTTCATTTTATTAGTGCATCTGATCTAGAGAGACGTTATTCTTCATTAGTCCTGTTTCTTCCTATTTGAAATAATTCCAGCCATGCTTCTAGAACTTCCCAGAGTAATGAAATAAAATCAAATTAAATTGCAACCCAGCATTCGCACTCTGCCACAGTGACAAACAAATTCCAGGCTCCAAGCTCTGGATCTCTGACAGGTTCTAAAAATGTTCTAAATACAACTGAATAAATCATTTTTTCTCTAATAACAGTTCTTCATAACGGGCCTGGCGCTACTTATTTCAACTCAGGTTTCAAGTCCCATATCTAGAGGGCTTTGCTTTTACAAAGTCACATACAGAAGATCTGTGTTTATTTACCAAATTCTGTTGTAATGTTTCAGTCTTAAATGTCTTTACCATTGCAGCAGGAAAGAAACCAGTGATGCCAAATAGAATGATACTCCCACACAGCTATGCTTTCCTTATTCTCACTGCCGTGAAACACAAACAATGCTGGTATCCTCAGTCCTATATGGTAAGTGTAGGATTTTTAGGCTCATTCATCTTTGGCCTGGTACTGCTCCAGCTGGATCATTATGGAGTTTCCCATCTGCTTCAGTGCTTTTGAAAATCCTGCCCCGAGACTGTTATTATTAACAACTGTGTTAACAGGTACCTTTTG